TAATGTACAGAAATTATATATATATATATATATATATATATATATATATATATATATATATATAGAGAGAGAGAGAGAGAGAGAGAGAATATCTCTCCTTCCTCTTGATACAACTCTTTTTTTTTTTGCAACTCCCTTTCCTCTGTGTTCCTTTTCCTCTCTCTTCTTTTTTCCCCCTCTGTATCTCTATACTTATTCTATTTTCCGCTTCTCCTTTCCCATTTTTCCTCTCTATCATTTGCCTTTTCCCCCAGACCACCACTTAATTTCTCCCTCTATTTTCTTTTGTGTTTTTTTTTTTATAAATCTTTCTCACGCGCATTCGAGAATCTTCTTCTTTCTTTCAATCTCCATAATTTTTATCTCTCGATTCTTTTCCCTCTCGTTTTTATCCTGTCTCTCTCGTTTGCACCCGTTCTCTCTCGTTTTTGCTTTCCCGCCTCAATCTTTCTTTCTTTCTTTCTTTCTTTCTTTCTTTCTTTCTTTCTTTCTTTCTTTCTTTCTTTTCTTCAATATTTCTCTTTTCTCTACTTCTTGTCTCGCCATTTCAACCTCATTCCGTTTGCCTGCATCTGTTCTACCGTTCTTTCTTTCTATTCCCCTCTTTTACTCTCTTTCTCTCTTTCTCTTTCTGCTAGTATCTCTCTCTTTTTCTCTATTCCTTTCTATTCCTCCCTCTTTATTATTTTTTCTATCTTCTTTTTATTCTCTTTCTCCATTTTATCTATTGTCTCTCCCTACCAACCTCTCCCTTATTCTATCTCTCTCTTTTTTTCTATCAATCTCTATCTTTGACTTTCTCTCTGTTTCTCTCTATATATATTTCGCTCTTTTTTTATCTCTTTTCTTCTTTTCTCTTTCTTTCTCGTTATTTATTTCTCTGTTTTCCTTATTTTTCTCGTTCTTCCTTCACTATCCCAACCTTTCTCTTTTTAGTTTTGCGTCCTTTTCTTCCACTTTTCTTCCTCTTCTTATCCACTCTTTCTCTTTCTCACATTACTAATACTCTTCTTTTTCCTTATTTTTCTTCTTTCTTCCTTCGTCTCTCCGTATATAATACTCTTAGTTTGTCTTTCTCTTTTCTTTCTCATTCTGTCTATAACTCCCTTTTTCCATTTGCTTTCTTCTTTTACATTCTTTCTTTTCTTCCCTCCCCCTCTTTCTCTCGTTCTTCTCTCTTAAAGACTGTAACCAGGGAAATCTCTATGGAATAGAAATAAGTAGCTACCGATTCATTTCTCGTTCAAACACGTTTAATACGAGATTTTCTACGGCGAGAGATAGAATGGTTTTAAAGTTTCTTGTTGCGTTTAGAGATTTACCATTAGTTGCCCTGGATAAGATTTCGTCGCAATGAGAAAGAATCTAGTAAAAGATAACTCAATTCCTGTCTCTTCTTTTATATTTAATCAGGCTGTCAGCTATTTTTGCTGATATCATTTACATATTTCACTCTTTGTAGATTTAACTTATCATCTTTTTACCTCGACTTTTTTTTTAGACTTTTCTGTCTCCATTCTGAGAAATCTCTCTTTTTCTTTCTTTCTTTCTTTCTTTCTTTCTTTCTTTCTTTCTTTCTTCATCTATCTATCTATCTATCTATCTATCTATCTATCTATCTATCTATCTATCAAAGAAAGAAAGATAAAGAAAGAAAGAAAGATAAAGATAGAGATTTCTCAGAATGGAAGAGAAAAGTGCAATACAAGGCTCTATCGTAACTGATTACATGCCAAAGCAAATGAACCCCCTTACCTCTAAAAAAAAAATGAGGGACTCTGATTGACGGTTCGATGATAAGTTAAATTCCTTCAGGGTTGATAAGAAGTAGAAAAAATAATAGTTGATAGTTTATTAGATAATAAAAGAGAACAAACAAATAAGAGCCCATTTGAATCTTTTGACATAGAAAGAAAAAGAAGCAATAATTTATTCTGTTATCATGTCATCCTGACAAATGAAAAAAAGAAAAAAAACAATGACTGCAGGATTTATCGAAATAAGAAAAGAAAAAAAAAAGGAGGAAATAAGTCGATGAGAATCTGGTAGAAATAACGATCACGCTGTAAGCAGCGTGGAGGAAGCTTTGCTCAGTTGTTAATAATCCTTGTCGGCTTCCAGCGTAGATGGCAAGAAAATAGCGCTTGTATAATTTTCAAAAAAAAAAAAAAAATAAATAAGAAAAAAAGGTTCACTAGTCAGAGCTCCAACTGGTACTTATTAAAGAATTCGTTGGCTGAATAACACGTTTACAAAAATTAACAAATCCTAAACATAGACAAACAGAGTGATGTACGATTCTTATTGGTGATGATAATATTAGACGTTTCCCTGTAAGGAAACATTTGGCATATATAGACCGAGCAGCCTTTACTGTTTTCGGTTGAAATTTATAAAATATTTCTATTAAAACCCTTTTTTTTTTTTTTTTTTTAAGAAAACAGGTTTCTCAAGTCCAGTAGCTGTTATCACTGTTTCTAATAATTTTTCTATTTGCCTACATTTTCCAAACATTTCATACCCTGAATGTACCAGTTATTATGGGACTGTAGTAATATATAATTATTTATATGATATTAATTCTATCGCATAATAATTGTTTCACTTGCTGTTGTGGAGTGATTTCACAGTGGAGGCTTGTATTTGTACTAAGTCGGTCTTAAAATAGGTTCGACGTACAAAACGTTAGGAACTTCATATAGTAATTATAACGCAGAGTAATCTAGTTGTGGTCGCTGATACATTAGTATCCGACTAACAGTCGTCCGACATCGATTGACTGACCGACCCGCTGACCGACGATATTCAGTCACCCCCCACCACGAGGGTGTCATGTGGCACAAGGCCTATTTAACGTGGGATCTCCGAGCCCGTGGGCTCGGCCCAAAATATGCCCATTGAACCCGTATAAACGGGTTCAGGGTCGGTTTACCTCCCCGAAAGAGAATCCGCCCTTCGGCGTAGCCTCCTTTCGGGTTCTTCAACCGATCAGCCAGTCAACTCACTGACCGACGATACGCCCGTCAAGGCCTTTATAACGTGGAATCAGCCCGTGTGTTCGGCCCAAAATATTTGAACCCGTATAAACGTGTTCCGGTTTACCTCCCCGAAAGAGACTCCGCCCTTCCGCGTAGCCTCCTTCGGGTTCCTCCCCGCCCGAAGGCAGAGAGTTCAACCGATCAGCCAGTCAACTCACTGACCGACCCCCACGTTACTCATACTACTTCTACTTATTATAGGTGGGAGAGTCTATTAACTATAGAATAGGTGTGTTCCACTATAACACACATTTCCTATATTAAATGTACCTGTTATTACGGGACGGTAGTAGTAAATTATTATTTATATAATACAACTTTTGTCCCATAACAATTGTTCCATTTACCTACACATTTCCTAAACTAAATATACCAACTATTATGGGACAGAAATATTTTTTTTTCTTTTACAGTAATGTTCACCCTGTACAGCGCCTGGGGTCTTCGAGGTAGTGTTGTAGAGTAAGGGGCACAATTTATGTGGATAGATGGGAAGATAACAGTTAAACTTAGACATGGACAGGTTAAGATTGTAACGATCAGGGAAACATGCTCTTAGGAGTCGGCCCCACACAGCCGTGGTTCATGGGAAGAAGCCATTTGAGTTGAAATTAATTCTCACCAGTCGAATACGAATAGAATGAGTGTGGTCCACTACAATACAAGTGTGATGGCGGGTCCTAGCCGTAAAGGGTTAGAACTGGCGGAAGTAAAGAACGCAATTCGACCCCAGCACTTGCCATCGAATTAACGCTATAATAGTGAGAGGCTTCCCATATCCAGTCTGTGAGAGAGGGGTTGCAGAGCGGAAAATTTGTTCCTTACAAGGCCGCGGAGATGCTTTTGGACTTGATCGTGATTGTAATGTGAGGACTGGGCAGCTCCTGCCAAAATATAACAGCATTTTCGGCCTGATCTGGCTCTTGTAAATGCAGAGGATGGCACGAGGAGTCAGGTTCTTACTGGGGTGGCAAAGGGAACCGGCCATCTTTCCTGGATCTTTAGTGATGGATCGTATATACGTGTTTCACTTAAGTTCTGGGGTGGGTTAAGCCGCTCAAGTCACAGAGCCTTCCCGAGGAGACAGTCATTCATCGTGATTTGTGGTAGTTCGGGATCCGATCGGCGATGATGGAATGTAGTTTGATTTTCGAGGCAGTGGATGTAACCAGCCATTTTTCCTCTACTGAGATGTTAGACATTGATCGGATAAGAGAACAGCTACAAATCTCTTGTCATCACGATTTTTAAAGGTCCACACTCCTTTTTCCATTTGCTTTCTTCTTTTACATTCTTTCTTTTCTTCCCTCCCTACTGTATATTATTATTTATAACAAGATTTCTGTCTTATAATATCTGTTCCATTTGCCTATATATTTACTAAATTTGAAGTGGATTATTTACACTATTCGGACTATTGTTCTCATCTTTGTCGCCATATTTATTACAACATTTCGGCCGTTGTACGCTCCGGCCTTCTTCAGGTAGTTGGAATGTCGAACAAATAATTTACATAATACCTCATCTCAGAAATATAGACAGATATTTGAAGTGGTGTGAAATATTAACATCTTGATTATGTCATTATTTTATCTTCGAGTTACTATCCATTTTAGTTGTTGCTTCTTTTGGTAGTCCTCGAGTGATGTGGTTTCTCTTATATGTTATAGTCCTTTGCTTGTGATTCTGTAGCGCCAGTCGACAATGTTCCAAGCAGTATGAACCTTGTCAAGACCCTCATGTTTTAGTCGCTCAAACCGTTTTTTCCACCATTGATCATAGGAAGCAGTTTGCAGACAGCTAACAGTTTGGATATTTCTGAACGGCTTTGGTGCCATGTATGGCAACCATATGAGATTTTTGATCTGTTGAAGCTATTTAAGAACATGACTCGAGTTTTCAGGTTGATATTTTGGCTTTACAAATGCAAATACAATGTGTCGCGCCAGAAAGTTATTCTCGTCTGAGTCCATCCTCCAAATCTATAAATCAATCATTCGTCCTTACATGGAACACTACTGCTGTTCTTCTCAAAGTTCTCGACAAAATCCAGAGATGTAATGTGATTGGTCCTGATCTGGCATCTCGTCTACAGTCACTTTCTCACTGACGTGATATGGCGTCACTCTCTTTTCTACAAATATTTTCACGGTAACTACTCCGACGAGCTATTTTCGCTGGTTCCCAAAATGCATGAATTTAACCGTGAAATTATATATATATATATATATATATATTACTTCCATGGTAACTGCTCTGATGAGCTGCTCTCTCTGGTTCCCAGACTCCATGAATTCAAGCGCCCTACGAGGCTGGCATCCCGCTCTCACCCTTACACCGTAGAAACCTTCAAATGTAGCCGTCTCTTCTACTCCAATAGCTTCATACCTCGCACCTCTCGCCAGTGGAACACCCTCCCCAATTACTGTTTCCCTGAAAGCTATAATCTCCAACTATTCAAATGTAATGTCAATCGACATCTCCAATTACCTTGATCTACCCACTATCCTTCTCCTCTTCCTTTCTCCTATCACTCTTATCTGCTCTCGCTCCAAACCCCCTGCATCCTAGTGGCTTCACGCCTTGCTTGGAGCACAATGCTTAAAAAAAAAAAAAAAAGAAAAAAAGTAAGATATATAATCCGGTGTTCTTATAGATATTTTTATTTTTACAAAATAGTGCTCAATGTAAATTTACATGCATTAATATTATAAATTAATCAATTTAAATTAATTGATTAAAACCATATTTTAAATCAAATAATTTATAATACATACATACATATATACATACATACACACACACACACACACACACACACACACACACACATATATATATATATATATATATATATATATATATATATATATAAATCATATGATATAGAATCCCGACAAAGTTTTAAAAAAATCTAACAAGCCACTTCTTTGAAACTAGATTTGATTGATTACGCGTTTCGCCTTTCTAGGCTTCATCATACTCAAAAACGAAAGAAAGAAGTGTATTTGTGTGTATGTTTAAATTATAAATCATTAGTATTTTTCTGCTAAGAAGACGTTTCTCGTGATGAAAGAAATGAATGAAAATGAGTGACTTTTGAAAAAGCCGTTAGTGTTTATTTATTTCTCATTTATAACTCTTAGTTCTCGTCGAAAGTTATTTATAGACTTCTCTGGCTTTTCTTTGTTGAATAGTAAATCATTATCTTATTTTCAGAATGGCACAAAAGGAAAAGATTCGCATAGCTTTTTCTGAAATGAATTTAAGGTAAATTCTTATCCAGTTTTTCAGAATGAGTAGAACGTATCTCTTTGTCAGCACGACTACATCGCTAGCGAATGTGACACAAGGTCGAGGATTAAATATATTGTGTGGAAAGAGGGTATAAGAAAGAGATATTGAGAAAAAAGGGAGGAAGAAAGAGAGATATTGAGAAAAAAGGGAGGAAGAAAGAGTGATATTGAGAGAAAAGAAGGAGAAGGAAATAAAGATATTGAGAGAAAAGGAGGAGGAAGAAAGAGATATTGAAATTAAACAGGGTGAAAGAAAGAGATAATGGGAGAAAAGAAGTAGGAAGAAAGAGAGATACTGAAAGAAAAAAGGAGGAAGAAAAATTGAGAAAAAAAAAGGAGGAAGAAAGAGATATTAAGAGAAAAGTGAGAGGAAGAAAGGGATGATGAGAGAAAAGGAAGAAGAAAGAGATTTTGAGAGAAAGGAGAGAGGAAAAAGATTTATTGAAAGAAAATAGGGAGGAAGAGAGAGATATTGAGAGAAAAAGGCGAGGAAGAAAGAGAGATACTGAGAGAAAAGGAGGAGGAAGAAAGAGAGATATTGAGAGAAAAGGAGGAAGAAGAAATAGAGATATTGAGAAAAAAGGGAGGAAGAAAGAGAGATATTGAAAGAAAAGGAGGAGGAAGAAAGAGATATTGAAAGTAAAGAGGGTGAAAGAAAGAGATAATGAGAGAAAAGGAAGAAGAAGAAAGTGAGATACTGAAAGAAAAGAGGGAGGAAGAAAATATTAAGCAAAAGGGGTGAGAAGGAAAGAGATATTAAGAGAAAAGTGAGAGGAAAGAAAGGGATAATGAGAGAAAAGGAGGAAGAAGAAAGAGATTTTAAGAGAAAAGAGGGACTAAAAAAGACATATATTGAAAGAAAATAGGGAGGAAGAGAGAGATATTGAGGGAAAAAGGCGAGTAAGAGAGAGATACTGAGAGAAAAAGGGAGGAAGAAAGAGAGATATTGAAAGGAAAGAGAAAGAAATATTTTGTTTTTGCGCAGAGACTATTGAGACGAATCTCTCGACGGTTGTATGATTTTTTCTTTATATCCGAAGCAAGAAATAAGCAGAAACCAATAACCAAGTGATGATACTAATGCGAATCTAAACGTATCAGCGTCGATTCTCGGAGACTCTAAATACACTAGCCTCGTTCTGATTGACACCAGGTGTCGCCTGCATTTGAAGCGGTTCCGCTGGGAAATCAAGATTAGCTAAAAGCGTGAGTTGTGATTTTACTTGGCCTCCGTTACACCAAGCGACGTATCCGCGAAAATAGACTGATATAAAAATGAAATATCAGTACACGCTTGAATTAGATTAATCATACACACAGGCACACACACACACATACACACATATATATATGTATATTATTTAATGCGGGTTGTTTATTTTGTATTAAAACGGCTTCTAGAGTCTATTGTATAATATTTTAACATTATCTATTAATAATGGATATGAGCACCGCTTGCACAATGTATCGACAAGTGGCAAGTGAACCAACGAGGGTGTGCGGTATATGTAAGTAATTATTTTTTATTAATATTATTGGGGACATAAGAATTCATAAACAACATTATTTTTCTTATTTTTGAGGTGCATTTTTTATTTTTATATAAGGATATATTTTTTTGGAACTGTATTATTTGTAATAAATCAAATAACATTTTATAGTAACTTATGGGAGAAAAATGATATATAAATGTTTATATACCAGAACTATGTCAGTAAAGTTAATGATAAACTTTAAAAAAAAAAACATTCGTGTGACGCGTTTTGTCTTTTCGGACTTCATCGGAAAAAAAGCCATGTTTATGTTGATGTAACTACGCATGCGCGCAAAGGAGAGGGGTTTAATTTTAAAAAAGAATAATTAAATTTAAAAACTTCTGTTTACCACTTTGGAGCCAGATATTGAACTCATAACTCTTTGTGTCAAGTCACTGGACCCAACCATGGCTTTTATCCACTGAGCAATGTGCCCTCAAGGAGAGATGAGTTAAAGGGAGGTAACTGAGACATCCGGAAGCAGCATGGATCGTGGAACTTGAACAATCTTCCCCGGTGGACGGAAAAAAATGTTCAATTCGAAATTCCAATTACATGAAGAAGGCCGCAGCGTACAACGGCCGAAACGTCGTGAATATTGCAGGAAAGATGAAGACAACAGCCCGAACATTGTAATTAGTGTAGCATTATTTTTGTCAAAATTTTGGTCCTTCTCATCATGGTGGGCAACCAACGCATTTGATGTATTGTTTTGTAAAATGTTCCTTTTGTGTTCATATATGATTTTATTCAGATTCCTTGAGCTTTCTCTTAGGTAATTTTTGTGACAATTATTACAGGCGATGGAGTAAACTCCTCCTCTAAGTTCAGCCTACTGTTTTAGTTAGTATTGACTAAATCTTTTATTGTTTTAGTAACAAACTTTATGTCGAGTTCTTTGTATGTATGTGCATCCGTATGCATTCCTGAATGGATATATGTATACTACATTTATTCTTGCATATATCTATGGCACAATGAGACTTCACACTGCAACGAATGATGTAAACAATGGATGTAATATTAAAAGGTTGAACAAAAGTCTTGACATCGGGATTTAAAAGTCGGTCTTTTACAATATCGTCCCTTGTCAGCTCTTGGAAAATTAATATTGTTCCGCTTGATTTCATTTAGGGATGGATTTAACAAATCAAATGGATTACCATATGTATGTAAACTCTGCGTTCGGATTTGATGACAGACTTTACTTAAAAAGATTAAAGGTCTGAGTGTATAATTCTACTTTTGCGTAATCAATCTATTTTATTGCTTTCGTGCCAGTAATAAGATGCAGAGACGAACGGCAAATAGATATTAAAACATCGGAAATGGTGTCTAGTTGGCAGGGATTCTAAATTTCAATGCTGCAGCACTTGAATGTTGCAGAATCAGTGAGTCAAATTCCAGCTGAAAATTTTGTGTTTATTTTACCCCTATGACCTTGGAAAGGGCATGGATATATAAGTTAAATATCAGTGTAGACTGTCTCTTTAACCTTGAATGGCAGTCAGTTTATCCGTTGACAAACTCTGAATTCGACACAGTAGAAACATCAATGAGGAAACCACGCTACTATCATTGATAAATATGAAAAGGAATCTGTAGAGAGCCATAATCGATAACGTTCTGAAAGGAAGAGGGTAGTAATTTTTAAACAGAAGTGCCATAAACATTAACTTAATTAAGATACTCAATTCTACACTTTCTACTGATATAAAAAGTTCTTTTTTTGTTATTGTTTCATTTTCATTAATTCATTCTAATCTATCTATCTATCTATCTATCTATCTATCTATCTATCTATCTATCTATCTATTCCAGTCTGTTCAGATCTATCTGTCTCAGTCTGTTCATATCTATTTCTCTATCCTAGTCTATTCATATCTATCTCTCTATCATAGTCTATTCATTACTATCTATCTATCTATCTATCTATCTATCTATCTATCTATTCCAGTCTGTTCAAATCTATCTGTCTCAGTCTGTTCATATCTATCTCTCTATCCTAGTCTATTCATATCTATCTATCTATCTATCTATCTATCTATCTATCTATCGCATTCCTTACTCCAACCAGCATTTAAAACGGGAACTCGGCATGCGACATACAGAAGGAGGAATGGTCGTTATTTCTTTTGTATTCCATTAGTAAGAAAGATGTTCGACTAAGACAACTTCTTTCCAAGAACTGCTGCTTTGCGGCACAGATTTATGGCAGTAAGTTTTCGTAATCACTGCAATCTTGACCTCTTCATAACTCCATGAACTTTTGGACATACGTTTACATAGCCATTTTAACTTGTATCTTTGACGCACCGTATATATATATATATATATATATATATATATTGTCATCCACAGACAGACTGTTCCGCTGTATTACAGCTCCTCAGTGTGGCTAGACGTCCGGTTGCCTCTAGATAGGATCGAAACTTGGCTGAATTGGCGTCAGTCGGAGATTCTATACCTAAGCCGTTGGCGCACGGCAGGGATGAAGGTGAATTTAAGCGTATTTATTTTACATAAACACATAGTGACTGAGATAACAAATCGACCATATACCGTGTGTAACAACAAAATTGGCCAAATCTTGCAGCAACATAGGATAATTGTCCATTCCACAAAATGTTTAATATCTAAAAAACAACTAAATTGAGTTTGTTTTTTTCCATGTTTTCAGATAAGACATTTAGCCATCTTGACGCCATTTGTCGTAATTATCACTGAAAAATCATTTGTGTTATTCAGCTGGAAAGAGAACAGGTTAACATCATAGCTACACTATGACATTCCAACTGAGCAATAGTGAGAGGAAAAAATCATTCAGGCCTTCAGTAATGGTACCAACAATCATACTCTGGCTTCCATCTTTATAGTCCACTCAATAACCATCACGAGAACGGTGAATAAGTTTTAAAAAAGAGGGAACAGTAGAGAGGAAAACTGGATCAGGAGGTCACAACAGGAAGAGGGATCATCGTTTCAACTTAGAGCTAAATACATTCTTATTGTTCAAGGTAGAGTCCAATAGTGTTATAAAAACATCGGAGAATTCCAGTAAGATATTTTTAATCATTTCTAAGATACAACGGTTCAAAGCTTAATCCAACAAATGAAGATTTTTGCTGTTATAGGATTTTGACAATTTTTTGTTTACACCCGGTATATATATATATATATATATATATATATATATATATATATATATGCTGTTACACCCGGTATATATATTTGGAGGCCAATTCTTGTAGTTTTGTAGGACAGTTCTAGTTGAACTAATCCTCTGCCTCCTTCGGATCTGGGCACATACAGACGATTAACATCAGCTTTGGGATGATGCATGCGATAGCAAGTGAGAAGCTTTCTCGTTTTGGCGTCCATTCGCTTAATTTCAGCTATGGTCCAGTTAAGGACATTAAAGCTGTATTGCACCACGGGACAGCCAATGTGTTTATGGCCGATATTCTGTTTTTTGAGTTTAGCTCAGTATTTAGTACCAGATGTACACGCCTGTAGTACTCTTTTCTTATGTTTTCCTTCATTTGGGAGTGTTGTATGCTATCTCCTTCGCTAATTCCTAGGTACTTATATGCTTCATCATGCTCCAGTTCCCTAATCTTTGTGACAAAATCTAAATCTATTAAGTCTGTTTCTGTAATTCTACCTTTCTTGAATGTTACGTTTGCTTATTATTATTATTATTATTATTTTCTCACATATCTCTTATCGAAATAACTTTTTCCAGCTTCATCAGCAATAAATAAATATAAAAATAACAAAAAAAAAAACAACACAAAACAAAACAATCCACCCAAAAGCAAAAAAAAACCCCCAAAAAACAAAACAAAAAACAAACAAAAACACAAAGAAACAACGTAAAAATAATCCATTCTTAACACCCCAAAATGGTAATAATAATAATAATAATAATAATAGTAGGGAGGATTAGTCGTTTCGATACAGGAAATATTCGACATTTATTGATTAGTCCAGGGTATGACGATAAACTACATCCGGCAGCAAGGTTTCTGATCGGGAGATTGGAATTTTTTTAGAAGATTGCAACCACCACTTACTTGTTGTTCCCAGGTCCACTCTGGTAGCACTTGTTAGATTGCCAGCTATGGGCAATTTATGAACCTCCAAACAAAAACAAAAGACTATGAAAGCATAAATACACTTTTATATATATAAATACATTACCAACAATATATATTTATAATAAAATTTCCAATCGTGCCTATTTATAGTAAAATTAGTAACAATGCATTTTATAGCAGAATTATCTGTAGTTGAAGGCATACGATAGCGTTAAAAATATATTTTGTTATAGCTATAAAATTGTGTATGAAATATTTATATTTCAGCATTAAATAACCCATAGAGGGGTTGATATGCCGCTAAACAAAATCAACTAACCAAAAGCATTCAGTGACCAAATATTTAGCGTTATTTTCGGTTGAAATTCATAAAAAAATGTTTCTCTTAAAAGCTGTTTTTCAGTAAAATACGTTCGTCAAATCCACTAGCTGTTATTGATCTTTCTAGTACTGATGGAGGCTTCTTTCCTCACTTATTGATCAAAATTGATCGAATTCTATTGATTGAAATAATGTGTAGCGAGACAGCAA